GGGGCTTGGCTACTGGAAAATAAACTGTCATCCCTTCACTAAACTGATTGGTCTTGGAACTAGACAATGATAATAGCACGATATTAATAACAGACAATATATGGGAGGTAACTCCCAGCTTGTCAACTACTCATTCCATCACGCTGAAAAATTTCCCCAAATGGGACGAAAAAACCAAGCAGAATACAATGTTTGTTCATATTTTGAACAACAAATTGCTCCAAGGGCCTGTCGAAGCTTCACTGACAACATACGAGTAAAAAGCAGCCTAGCATCCTTTGTGACAACCTTTGCATTACTGCGAACGTTTTCCTTCTGATAAATGTGTGTGTATAATCCTTTTCGGCTAGCAATTTACACTTGAAAGCTATACCCGACAGATAGCACTTTACTGTGCTGGAAGCATACCTGCCGGCAGACATATACGATACAAACTTGCATATGGTATCTTGCAATGGTGGTTGCCAGGACTTTGCGAGATCATTATGTAAACGGAGAGACTCAAATACACTAATAATTGCAATATACGCTTTAGTAGTATTCTCAGTAAGAGAGGCTGAAATCAAGTTTGATGTTTCAGATTGGAGATCAACATTTGGAGTGATACTGGGATTTCTGCTTGCTCTGGATCTGCCATTCGTGCTAGTTGCCGGAAGCGAGCCAACTACTGATGGGAAGTTGATGATCGGAGCTATTAACTCCTCCATTATCGGGGCCATCTTGTCAACCATCAACTCGGCCACCCGTGACAGCTGCTACTCAGATCAATCATGGTCAGCTGACCCCGTCGTAGCATCCACTTGCCCCTCCGCCGAGTACCGTGCACCCTCAACGGTCCTTCTTTAAATCAAGGCAGAATATTGAAATTAAATTTATGAAACAAATCAAATAATGTTATGTTCGCTCAATGCTATGTCTCTAAGCAGGATGATCAAATTAAATTTAAGGAACTATTTAAGCCAATTATTTTTTCACTCGACACTATTCGAGCATTTAACTCTGAGCAAAATAATCAATTAAATTTAATTCAAGTCAATTTCTGTTCACTCAACACTATTCAAGCGTTTAACTAGGAGCAATTATCCTAAATTGATTTTAAAAACAACTCTAGTCAATGTATGTCTCCTCAAAGATAGTCAAAATACCAGGTAAGAACTCTCTTCATTCAGCTGATAGATGATCAATACCTGACAATAACAACAAGTCACAACACAATACCAGTTCATTGCAAAGGCATGGCACTGTTTTGTAGAAATAGTAATACCATACATGATAGAATTTGTATGAAATTAACAGTGTTGTTAATTAGCCTGTAAAACATTATAAATGTTTCATATTTTTAGATTATATACTCTGGCTTTATGCCAAGGATGAATGGTAAAACCTAGGACCCATCACCCCTACACTATCTGGAGGTATAGTTATAACCATCAACATCTTTTGTTGTCGCAACATGCACCAAGAACACAACTGGACATTTAGAAACATAACAAAATGCACGTACAAACCAATGGAATCTTTCAACTGTCAGAAGGGAGGTAACTCCAACAACTGAGATGCACATTTGTGTGTAGAACCACACATTGCTCTAAGCTATGAGCAGGATTAACACGCACCATCGTAGTTGCCGTAAATGTAAACATTCAAGTCCTACAATTTTTGAACGACTGATACGAACAAACAACAAAAAACAGTTACTACATGTAAACCCCAAGTAACGCGTAATGTTAAAGTAATCAAAAATACACGTACACAAGTGCATTAGAGGAGGTAACTCCAACTCGTGATCGCCTCGCTATGTGACGTCGAGCACACGACAAACTCATTAAAATATACGAAAATATTTGAATTTGCAAAAACTGATGAACACTGATTAAAACAATGGGTTACATAACAAGATTTCACAAAGAAAACTATACAACCCATAACGATTAACTACACAAATTCAAAAACTCAGTGACAAATCCCCAAATGGTGGATACCCTTAATCAAATGGATTATTTCAAAATTATCCAAAATTTAGATACACAAACGTTTGATATAAATTTGTTTTAACCGATATTATTTGTTTACCCTACATTCTGAGAAAGGAAGAGAAGGTTATATGGGAAATAACTCTGACAGACATATGCTCAGCTACACTGAGATACCAACCCACTAATATAAATCAATTTTATTCTATTAATAAATTTTAATAAGCCGATTATTGACGCCAATCAATATGAAATGCTTTTTTGATTGGTCTTATGAGTGTGTATTAAGATTATTTTCTCTAACAAAATGTCAATAATAAATTGCGTAGGCGAGATTTACCGATGTCGTCTTCCTTGACGCCCACGTGACTCAATAGTGCGTAAGAACTAGATCAAGTAGTCATTAAGTGTCCTCTTGACTTCAGACAAGACGATCTAGTAGCAAAAATGTATACATGATAAAGATAAATCATCAAAATAAATCTGATAAATAACAATGTTATTTCATATGGCTAAAGATTATTTTGCAAGCTAGTTTTTGAACGATTACGTACGGGGGAAACGGGCAATAATATCAATGTTGATGGTTGGCAAATATGTTCCATGTGGTAGATTGCGGGAACCAAAACGGAGGCAAAGTTGATTTAATCCAGAAAAATGCATAGTTACATTCCCGTTGTGACAATGATTTTGGCAGGAACGGATTGTTGGGTTAATATTCAAAGATCTTTTTGGAATGATAGAGGGTATATTGACCAAATATAGCACCAGCAACTTCGTTTGGTCACGAAAATTCAAAGCAATTTACATGTATCATACTTCTTAAAGGTGAACGAGAGGGTAGCTACGAAACTGGATTATAACTTTGACATGATTATTCCTTAGGAACAAGTCATGAAATTTTAGCCTTATATTTCCTTAGCTCTTTTTTAGGGTAATGCTTTATCTTGACTAATGGAAATTACAGTTTAAGTAAAGGTGAAGGTTTCGGTTTCACTCACTAGATAAAACAGTGTATGATATTGTTTTTTGTTTGTAGAGTAAGTTGGTGGAAGAGAATTTCGGAAACGAGGAAAACATTTTTTTATGCGAGAGATATCTACTGGAACTGACTAAAATCAGGCCGACAAAACGTCATACAAATATTTCGATCATGAATCTGACTGGTTGTTGTAAATTTGTAGTTATCTATCTTGTTTAAATAAAAACGCTATTGTGACCATGGGCGCCAAAAGGTAAAATTTGAAAACAATACATTTTATTTTCTGTTTAAGGGAACGTTATCAATGTTGGATTCATAGAGAACATTCACGCCAAATACTCGATTTCTTTACAAATACTAAATAACAGGGTAATACAAAATCAGCTTATAAAGATAACGTAAGATTTAGGCGGGTACTCGAATAAACCACAGATTTAGATACCGTAGAGGTTACAGAAGCAGTTTCCATTTATCAGACTGTGTATGTCCGGTTGATATTGTTTACTACAAGTGGGTTTAAGTGTCTAAAGTTGGCGTAATTTAAGGAACTTTTTAATTCAAGTTGGAGGGAGCAGGAACTAACTACCGCAACACATTGTAAAACAAAGGCACAGAAATATTCATTGGTGTATTTGGAAAACGGAATCTCATATAACAAAATATTTCCTTCTGAAAGTTTTTAATAATAAAATGAGGAAAGACTGTTTTTCTATATAAGTTATGAGGCGTCTGAGGTGAATCAATACGCAGTGATGAGGTTACCTGTGTTATGCAAAAATGAATGTCAATTTCGTCAATGGCTCTAGCCATACAGAATGTAAATATAAAGAATTGCTTCCATTTTTAGGTTTCTCAATAGAAACACGAGGAAGGTTTTCTATTTGTAAGTAATACAAAACATAAGACGTCTTTAATCGTGTCGACTGACATGTTTTATGTTGGACAAACAGCTGTTATTTATGAAAAGTCGAAAACTGCGGGAGACAACATTTAAGCACTTTTCGATAGTTCTTAACTTACTTCACGTGACCGGTTACCTATATTTCCAATTGTCGAAATCGAACATTGTGCCATATTGGATAAAATAAACAACAACAACGCGCCTTAAAATATGTTTTATAAGGTTTACCTATTAACTAATAAAGGTGAAATATATAGTCATTTTATTGTTATGTTTGTTCATACCCTATTATATCAGAATAAAACCACCCAAAAAGGAAAAGTATGCATTTGTGGAAAAACAAGAATTACTCTTTATTCCTTCGGACAATACAGAATCTTCGGCACTTTACGTAAACAAGAAAATATTCAAAACAAGAAAATACAAAATATGTAGTGGAAATGTTTCAAATAACAAACGAAACAAAATGTTAAATATAACGAAATGCAGCCTTTGGCTATAAAAAAGATAAAAGAAGACGTAATAAAAAGAAATCTGCAAATATTAAGTCCAAATGACATTAATATCGAACATCATGACTTTACCTTGTAAATACATGCTATAGTAAGGAAAATGTATGCAAAAAAGGTCACCAAAGGATTAAGGTCAACGTGCTAGTTCATTTAAAACAACATGGCATACTTTATTTTGCTCAATACTAATTGGTCACACCTACTGTGTATATGGAAGCGCAATATAAATATATACTGAACAAAAAAAGAAACGCACAATGAAATTATGCAATCTATACCCTATGACATTTTGGGAAATTTGTACAAAATGTTATATCAATATGACGGGACAAGTCTACACTTTACAATACTGTAGAGGAAAAGTCTGTGTGACGTAACTCGTGTCATCAGTAGTTACTCAAAGTGGGATACCCGCGAAAAACAAAATGACACTTCAGTTCCTGGTGTGGGCACCTTTTGCACGAATCCCTGCACGGATTCTCCTATGCATTGAATTCATGAGAACATTTATTCGCTTTAATGGAATGTTGTTCCATTCTTGTGTTAATGCTGCGATCAACTGGGCGCGGTTAGTTTTTTTTTGACGTTTCCTAATACGCCTGTTCAGCTCATCCCACAGATGCTTATTGGGAGTCATGTCGGGGCTATATGGGGGTCATTCCAGAGGCTGAACGTTCTTTGCCATCAGAAAATCACGGCAGACTCTGGCAACATGCGGTCGATCATTGTCTTGCTTGCAAATTAGGTTATGACGTCTGAGAAGTGGAAGGACATGTGGTTGGAGGATCTGGTCTCTGTATCGAACGGCATTGAGGTTTTGATCCAGGACCACTCAGGGGGATTTTGTGCGGTTTTTTTTTGTGGGGTATGAATATCGTCATTCACTTTTGATGACGCTACAATTACCGGTGACACATTTTATGACGTCACATTTAAACACATGCTATGGAGTAACACGCTGATCATTCCCGGTAAAACAGGAGACACACATGTGAAGGATTGGAGAAAATGTTGTTTGTCAACTTAGATGGAAGACGATAAATAAGAAAAAAACGCAAGCCTGTATTTGTGGAAGAATTGATTTATAGTTCTCGTCGTACCAACGACAACGACAATAATTTACACATCCAATCTATAAACCCATTCTTAATTAAAACAAATAACTTACGTTTAAACATGTTTTATTGCCGTAAACGTGTCATTGACTTTGGCAGCTATACTAGACATTTTAGCCTGACTGTGGTTGGTTGACTATCAATCCACGGGATTGGCTGATTGAATATATACTACTTAAAGGAAACATCATCTGTTGAAGCCGAACGTTGTCAACATGTTATGTTAAAAAGAGTTGTGTAGGCACACCCTCCTGTTTTGGTGATTATACGAATGTTTTGAAAGATTTTAGACATGGAAATTTAATTAGTTTGACCTTTTGCATCAATGATGACACAATAGTGGACGACATGGCACGGTGCGGTGAACCTAATATATGCTCAGAGAGATGTCATGTAACCTAATAACCCCTGACCCTCTTATATTAACATAGAGGCTGTTCTAGTAGAGTCCAAGTTTTATAAGAAGATTCCCATGTCTTCATTGGTCATTTTGCAACCGTTCTATCCTTCTTCTGGCAGGGTTGTTATATTGGTCAAATCGCCGAACGTCCAGAGAGTCCCTATATTCTCTGAGAGCCCTGCGTGTGTCCCCAACCATTTCATAACATATCCCCAAGAGATTGTGTACTATCCAGTAGTGACCAACTCCTTGTTTCTCATCATATTTCACGGCTCGAAGGTGAATCAATGCTGCGTCACGTCTTCTGGTATCGATAAGCTCGTGATTACATAAGAATGTTAGGAACACAGCATATGGTAGTGCAGGGATAGTAAGTACATCATCAAAATTAATGATGTTTAACTCTGGGTGTAACTGGGATGGACACAATTGTGAAACAGTCCAAGGAAATTCGACATTTGATACACATACCTGCTGACATTTGTGTAGCAAGGTGTATCCACGCCCACAATAGAGATTTTCATAAATGTTTTTTTCCTTATAATTCAAAGAGAAAGAGGGATCTATTGTGAATGCTGATAACATGATTGTACACATCTCGAGTGTTTTCGTGTAGTTTCCAACCTGGTAGTGATATGTTGCCAGCGTTAGTAGACCCGTGCATACTGAGGAAAGTGGTGTCATCAAGTTTTTGCATTTTCGGAGGAATTTATACTTCTCCTTATTTCCTTTAGCAGGAATGTGTTTCTCGAAAGTATCCATCCCTATACAGCACATTGCACGTAATGTGGTGGTGTAAGCTAAGAATTCATCAGAGCCTAGTTGTGCTTTAGATAGGAGTGATAATGACCGGGAAAAGAAGTCAGATGAAATATCTGATATAAAAGCTGCAAAGAATATCTCCATGTCACATGTTACTTCTGATTCTATTGATGGACGTAGTACCAATTCCCACGCTCCATTCCTCACATTTTGCAATACGATCCCTAAAGGTTGTTGTATGACTGTTCCAACTGACAGACATTCCCATTTCGTATCATACAGCTCAATTAGCATGTGAAAGAGTTTTTGTTGGTTTTCACCCTGAACTTTACCACAGAACATATTGTTGTTGCTGATAAAGAAATTTGGACAATAGCCTGCATTCACCCAGGCAATCAAAATCTTGAAGCAAAGCATAAAACAGAAAAAAGTGTTTTTTTCTTGCCAAAACGATCCAGGTGTGGATTCCACAGCATAAAATATTACTGTTTTCATGATATAGGATGATAGGATATCTTCATCCCCAAATATCTGCTTTAACCTGTCTGATATTTGCTTGAGGAAGTACTTGAGAAGTCCATATATTAGAAATTGTGTATGAGTAAGAGAATGAATGAGCTTTCTTTCTGCAGTTGCAAATGAAATCCGCCATTGTAGGAATGTGTCAGCAGATGTTCTGTCTCCTACAGGGACCAGATGACAACCGCCCTGTACTATCTCATCTCTCAAAGCTTTATCTGGCCAACTATGCTGACGAGGCCGACTTACCCACTCGTAACCTTCATGTGGCCATCTAGCACAATGGAACGCAAATACAAGATCATTATCACAATATAATTTGTTTTGTACAGACGTCAGAGTAACAGCTGGGCCATGTGTTTCCAGAATTGAATTTGTCATATTACTAAATTCATCAGCATAATTCCGTCTAAACATTTCACTTGATAAGAAATGTGCATTTCTATCTCCAACGATTGATTGGTCGATCTCCTTATTGCATGTCGGTACCAGATTAACTAGTTCAAGGTTCACGTAACCAGGTCGGCTGTCAGCATCTCTCATCATGAAAACTGTTTTATCTTTGCTGTCCTGTGGAATACTGGAATCCTTGAGGGGACACAAAACTATCACGTTATTGTCAATCGCCATTGTATCTATGTCTGAGCTTTCCATATTAAATCCCTCGGACTGACTTCCCGTGTAAAACGTTCTACTTGGCAATCCAAGTCCTTGTGTCCTACCATTTAGTATTAGTTCATTCTGAAGCGTCCGCCACCTCCTCGTTTCCACTATCTCTGGGCTCCCTATAAATCTGTCAAGGATATGATGTAGAATCCAAGACATTTCGTACTGCTCATCCTGATCAGCCATCGCGGTAATAAGTCACAGATCCTGTAAATACAGTATGGGCATATTGTTTTGCTATGTGATGATATATACAGTTCATATCTTACTAAAAAAACTCATTATCAAGAACGACTATGCTTACCATGCAAGTGGGTTAGTGTTTCGCCAAATATCATTACGCATTATTGAATTCGGATTTACAAAAGAAACATTGTTGCTATTTATACATTCCACTGACGTCATGATGCTTACAAGTATGAGGATTGCCCGCAATGATATTTAGAGATAATTTTGTGTTTGTTAACATCGTTGGTCGTTTCACTATGTTTAACTTATTGTATTAATACAAAATAATATCAATACTAAACACGAATAAAGTGGTAACAATAGTTCAGGTTCCGCAGACATGGTGACGATTAGAATGGTATGTTTCTGGAAACCTAGACTTACTAACTCTACGGAATATCACGAGACGTATATTACAATAATCGTTGTCTAATAGCAGCATATAACGAAATGAAAGAAGCATCATTAACTAGAATACTTTAATGTTTGTTTTATGTTGATGACGCGTGGGGACGGCGAACACATTATATTTTTAATTTATGTTGTATTACCTTCTATATCCGTTCTATGAGGTGATTTACGTATGAGAGGATAATGAAACATAGCCCGTTCACTACCGCAACAATTGCTTGACTATGCGCCCGAAAAGAAGTTCTAGATAGAATGTGTTCTTAAAACCTCACACGGCATTTTTCATCGATGCTTATTTAAAATGTCCATTCCTTTCATTTAAGATAGTATTTGTTTTCTTGAAATTAAACATACCAATCAAATATGACAGCGTTGCTACATATTTCGAAATTGAAAATAAAGTAAAGGCAGAGAACTGCTTAAGCATTTCAGACCTTATGGTAAACATGTAACAACAAAACAAAGTTAAATTGATATGAGTTACCAAGGGTTCGTTAATCATGTCTCTCCTGGCAATCACGTGACTCACTGGTACGTACACGTTGTATCAGACAGCAATTAAGTGCCCTTTTGACATCAAACAGGATGATGTAGTAGCACAATTGAATACATGATAAACAGAAATTGTTAAAATAAACATAAATTATATAAATGATACTTCAAATAAGGTTCAAGCTTATTTTGGACACGAATTTTCGAAGGATTGCGTATAGGAAAAAGCAAAAATACACTATGTACATACATATGTTCATACTGATGAATATTTACATGTATTTGTTTAGTTGGTTGTCTTATCAAAAATCCACCTTAGGCCATATCTCTCCGAGTTGGAACCAGACATCTGTAAAGTACACATGTACACGAATACTAATAAGTATACACCATTCAAATCTAGCACACTTTATCTAAAATGCCCAAACTATATAATGATATCTAGTATAACATTATACATAGAAAATAAACCATTATGCTATAAAACTATATATATAGTAATGGCTATGTGTGCATGACTAAAACATACGTACATACATATATTGTAAATTATCTATGTTCCATAGGCATATTGAACAAAGTACCATGATGCATGCCTTCATAACATTGACAAGGTATATAATAACTGATTGATGACTTAATATTACAAAACATGACCACATGAAATACTATAAGTAGTACCAGCATAATATATCATACCAATCAGCTTTATATAACTTAATTAACACATACACATTACTACTTATGGTATCTTACTGTGTAACATTCGTACACCCGCCTTAGCGGTGAACAAACATACGCGTAAACATGATACGCATGAGTGAGGCGCATCCGTACCTTACCGACTTATACAATACATGCAAACTCTAAATGATCAAATAGCAGACGACGAAATATGAAAATATAGATATAACAGTATACATAGAATAGTAGGATAATCAGAATAAGCACTTACTCTGTTGCATAGGTGGTCACGATGACTCTATCTGGTTTTCGGCCTTCTCAAAATGACACACGTCTTAACGCAACAATCGCTAATGACTGTGTGTGAACATTACTTACGTGGTCAGTCCAACTTTCTATTATAACTTACCCGCGAATAGCGGAACGAAATATAGATAATATAAAATACAGAAACACCCACTTACTATCCTAATATGCTTCGTGACAGTGACATCATCTACGCTCACCAAGGCTCTAGTACCCACTGTAGATATAGTTATGATCCTTTCTTCCTTGTTTATACAGCAGTTTCAGGTTTCAAGTAATGTTTGATTTAAACGAACAAAACAAATACACGGAAGTTTAGTCATACACCATGTATAATCCAGGTAGTGCATTTTTTAACTGTCCTCTCTATTAATGAGGATATTCTCAGAATTTTACTTGTTCTAAGTATTGTGGCAAATTCCTTGTCTAATTATACGGCAAAGGCATACTGGCAATCGTCTTATTCCATGGTTAAACAATGGCGGCTTCGTTCTGAAACGTTAGACCGTGTCACTCCAAGAGCAGTGTATCAATACGTGTACATGACGAAATGTCAATGAATAAAAATGTTCAATGGGGCTCCTCACATTTCTTAATTTAAAATATTAAAGCTATGAAAGGGAGAAAAATAGTGTTATTTACTGTGGATATTCTAAATCATATATCGATGTAGAACCACTAGAACTATATTATCCTGGCAATCACGGCTACCGTAGTTACCATCGTAACAACTTTCGACTGTTTTTCTGTGTATTGTAGCATTTAAACTTTTATTTGGATGTAAATATTAGGACTTTCTTACGCGCACTTTATAATATGTACGCTGCCAACTGCGGTCATACTAGCGTATACGCCGTCAAAATGAAGGTCCATCCTGAAGCATGTACCTTACTAATACATATTTGTATTTCTACATATGTCTCCAACTACAGGGCTAGTTTGCCACACCGCAGAAGTATGATACCCTAAGAATTTGCAACCATATTTCAAAATGGCAAGAGAATTAGGCGCAAGAAGGTAAAATTTAAAAACAATACATTGTATTTTCTGTTTTAGTATACGCTATCAATGTTGGATTCATAGGGAACGTTCACGCCAAATACATGCATCTGTGTACACATACTGGTGTTACAGGGTAATAAAAATCAACGTCGAAAGATAATGTAAGATGTAGGTGGGTACTCGAATAAACAACAGATGTAGATATCGTAGAAGGTTACAGAAGTAGTTTCCGTTTATCAGACTGTGTATGTCCGGTTGATATTGTTTACTACAGGTTGGTTTAAATGTCACAAGTTGTCGTAATTTAAGGAACTTTTTAATTAAATTTGCAGGAAGCAGGAACTATCTACTGAAACACATTGTAAAACAGAGGCACGGAAATATTCCTTGATGTGTTGGAAAACGGAATCTTATATAAACAAAATATTTCCGTCTGAACGTTTTTAATGATAAAATGAGGAAAGATTATTTTTCTATATACGTCATGAGGGGTTTGAAGTGAATCAATACCCAGTGATAAGGTCACCTGTGTTATGTACAAATGAATGTCAATTTCGTCAATGGCTCTAAGCATACAGAATGTAAATATAAAGAATTGCTTCCATTTTTAGGTTTTTCAATAGAAACATGAGGAAGGTTTGTTTTCTTTTTTCTATTTACAAGTAATACAAAACATAAGACGTCTTTAATCGTGTCGACTGACATTTTTTTTTTTGGACAAACAGCTGGTTTTTTTATGAAAAGTCGAAAACTGCGGAAGGCAACATTCCGATCGTTTTTAACTTACTTCACGTGAACGGTTACCTTTATTTCCAATTGTCGAAATCGAATATTGTGCTGTATTGGATAACATAAACAAAAACAACGCGCCTTAAAATATGTTTTATAAGGTTTACCTATTAACTAATAAAGGTTAAATATATTGTCATTTTATTGTTATGTTTGTTCATACCCTATTATATCAGAATAAAACCACCCAAAAAGGAAAAGTATGCATTTGTGGAAAAACAAGAATTACTCTTTATTCCTTCGGACAATCCAGAATCTTCGGCACTTTACTTAAACAAGAAAATATTAATTTACGGAAAATGGCTATGATTTCCGATTATACATTTAAACTACTACCACCGGTAACTTGTAATCAGTATGCAGTCTGCCACAGAGTGTGATCCGGGATCCCTTTAGTTTCAGTCCATGTTAAAATTCCTTATTTAAATCAAAGGTGTAGACAGTGCCAGTATATACAACACAATATAAACAGTTAAAGTAAACGTCACAGATTGAATAAACAATCTCAATACCTGATAGCCATATTAAATGAAGGAATGATATCAACGTATTTACAAACACACACACACTATAAGGCGGAGGCGGAAGTTTTAAAGCACATATTACACATTGTATACATCTCCAGTGCTCTTTGTTTCGTAATACCTGACTTACAATCAAGTAACATGTAACATGTAACATGTTTCGTCTCATCGTTGTAAATAACACAAATCTCTCACTCAGTATTAGCTTGACAAAGGACCAGTCGGTCTTGAAACGTTGCGACACGTTTAATAAGTACATTGTTTGGGTAAAAAGTAAAACATGTTTTCAAATTGAAGAATCTAATTGAAGGTTTTTAAAGATCTAAAATAAATTCACAGTTAGGATAGAAATCGTAGTGTCATAGTATTAAATATTGTTTAAATAATCATATCAGCGTATTTTCGAAAACGTTTGTGTTTCTTGTTTCCCTTTATAGTTATGTTGCCGGTATAAATCAGAGGAGGAAGCTTTTAAAATCATATTTTACATTGTTTAGCACCCCAGTGGTTTTTTTGTTTCGCAGCATATGACTGAAAATAAAACCATCAGCAAATGGATATGTGGGGAAATATTCACGGATTGGAAATTTTGCCGTTTTGTCCTCCTTAATGCGGGCGAAGTTATCATTACGGCGAAAATAATATCCCAATACTCATTAAAGAGAAAGTATATGTACAAGGCTAAAAATAACAGTGGGCGAATACATATTTAAAAGTGAACACATTCACATGGTAAGCATTATTTATAGACCAATTAAGGATTACTACTTATTAATGAATAATACTTAAAAGATGAACGGAAGACACAAACATGTGAGCGCACCATTAAAACCTGGTAATATATACAACATGCCAACAATCAATTACACTGTACCACTCAACTGTAGTCCTTCAAGGACTCATCGGTGATGTCAGGAGCCAAACCGTTTCAATTCCTTATTAGTTAAACTATTGTACAAATTAAGTGGAAGGCACGTGAAACCCCTTAACTAAACGTATTTTAGATCTAAAAGATTACCAGTTTATTTTAAATTACATCATGAGTAAAGTGTGCGTATTATGGACAGTGTTACTACATACAAATTTCATAAAAGGACTTTTTTATCGATTGATTGTTTCAAGCAAATAGTTTTAACGATTACGCGGAAGGATGTTAACTCAGCCATGATGGGTGACAGGTTCGTGTAAACAACGACAACTGTTTACCTGTACTATTTTCTCTTCGGCTGCTGTACACGTGAAAAAAGCATAACCTTATTTTGAGGTCAAATATAAATGACTACTACCGTCACATAGTATGTGCATTGAATGATATTCAGCATGTGTTTGTTTATTTCATTTCATGTACAATATACCATCACAATATGCAACAGCCATTATTTATATTTTTACACACGTGTTTTGTACCCTATGTGCTGTCTCAATATTTCTCTTTCTATGTGTGTATATGTAAAAAGTCACTAATGATAAAAACGAAATATTTCAAAGAACGACATCATTTGTTCCGGAAAATAAGGAAATGTTTAATGTGATGGGTTATGTTTGAAGGTATATTCTCTGTAGTAGTCTGAGACGGAAGTTATTGACGATAACATTGTTTAAAACCTCAATGTTCTTTGTTAACAGCGTATTGCCTCAGCACTCAAAAACATTTTCCCACCAAAATGAACACGTTAACATGGGCAATCATGTCAGGTAATTATTAGTATTGAATAGTTGAAAATTGCTTATTGAATGCTTTTGTTTGTTGAGTTATGATTTATCGGATGTTGTTAAACAAAGGTTTTTATCAATAAATGATCAGTAAAATAGTTTTCATTGCTGCACGGAGATTACCCACCAGTACTGATTCAGCTGTGACCAATGTATGATTGTTTACTAATATATGTTATTTGTTAATATATGATTGTTGAATTTATTTTCTTTTTTACAAAAGTCAATACTTATATACCATACGTTGTTATATTTCGTGTGTTCAAAAGTTTGTTCTTCACGGCAAAACGTATAACATGTGAAATGGTGGTGCTTTACAATTCCTGTATGTTAAAGTTTGGTGTTTGGTGTTTGGCGATGCCTATTATTCTCATAGTGGTTCAACTAGTACATTTGGTCAAACATGGTTAAAAGTAACTCTGAAAATAATGCAGCTATTTGGAAGGACTCAAATATTTACAGCCTATGTTTATCCGGGTACTTTCTTAAAAGATTTGGTAGTATTGGAGCATGGGCTATACTTATCGACTTACCTAACTGTACGGGGGTAGCCTGACCGCCTCAATTATCTTCACAGACCACCTACACTGACCAAAATGAGCTCATACACCGATTACAATGACCACCTCATCATACTAGACTGACCATCTCAACTGATCACACTGACCACTTACACTAATTATACTGTTCACCTACACTGACCACATTGACCACCTCTACTGACCTCACTGACATCGATCTTTACTGACCATCTACACTGATTAAACTGACCGCCTAATCGAACTACACTGATCAACTACACTGACACTACTGACCACCTCCAATGAGCTCCTAGATATCTACCACTACACTGACAACCTCCAATGACTACCTCCACTAACCTCTCTGGCCATCTCTACTGACAACTTCCAACGGCTCTCTCATATCTTCCTCTAATTACCATACAACTGACCACCTCCAGTGACCACACTGACATCTACCTATACTGACCACCTCCACAGGCCGAATTGACATATACTTAACACCTCTACTGACCCCTACCTCTTCTGACCACCTCTAGTGTTTACACTGACATATGTCGCTACTGACTACCTTTACGGATTACCTCCACTAACTACACTAACCACCTCCTCTGAACACACTGACCACCTACACTGATCACCTCAAATGAACACAATCACCACCTACACTAACTTCATTGACCACATTCACTGTTTATACTGACCACCCCAACTGACCACACTGACAACCTCCACTACCCTTTCTAACATCTACCTTTACTGACCACAATCATCGACAAAAAGTGTTATCTGACCACACTAACTACCTACATTGACGACACTGACATTAACCTCTAGTGATTACTTCCACTAACCACACTGACCACCCCCATTGACCTCACTGACCACATCTACTGACATCACTGGCTCTCTATGCTGACCTTATTGACATCTATCTCTTTTGATCACCTCCTCTGACCACACTGATCGCATCAACTGACCACTCATACCACCTCCACCGACAACACTGACCACCTCCACCGACCACACTGACCACATCCACTGACCTCTTTGACATCTTTCTCTACTGACAACCTATACCACCTCCACCAACAACACTGACCACCTCCATTGACCTCTTTGACCTCTTTCTCTACTGACAACCTCCACTTACTACACTGACCACCTCAACCGAATAAACTGACCACCTTCACCGACCACAATTACATCTGCATCTACTGAACTCATCAACTGACCACCTCAAAATACCTGAATTACCACCTACACTGACTTCACTGACCCCATCCACTGTCTATATGGACCACCTCCACTGACCACACTGACCACCTTTACTGACCTCTTTGACATCTTTCTCTGCTGACAACCTCCACTGACCACCTTCACTGACCACAATGACATATACATCTACTGACCTAATCCACTGACCACCTCAAATGACATGAATTACCACCTACACTGACCTAACTGACCCCATCCACTGTCTATACGGACCACCTTCATTTACCACACCGATATCTTCATCTACTGTCTTTATCCAATGACTGTCCGGGCCAACTCAACGGACCTCACTAACATCTTCCTCTACTGAGCAATTTCACTGACTATACTGACCACCTACACTAAGTATACTAACCACCTCTATTGACCACACTGACTGCTTCTACTGACAACACTCATCACGTCTTTTGACCGCACTGACACCTACTTTTATTGACCTTCTTCCAATTTCTACACTGATATCTACCTTTTTGACCACTGTAACTACCTACATCGACCACGTTGACTCCACTGTCTATACTGACTACCTCTACTGACCCCTACTGACCACCACTGACCCCACTGACATCTACCTCTACTGACCACCTCGACACAATACAAGATCACATTACATATTACACTGATCACCTAAATCTTTTACACTGATAATGTCCACTTACCTCACTGGTTAGGTTTAGAAACAAGTAACAAAACATGGGTATTGTTTTCACTATATGAAGATGTTCATGTATGGGTTGAAACACAATTGTTTTTGCATCAAGGATACACTTCCGGTTTCCCCACTGGACGTCTACTTCCGGACGAAAACACTTAAAGGCAAGGTGTAGAAAGGGGAAGCAACTCTGTTTACGTATGCATGTGTTAACATTAAAGAGCTTTGCTACGCTCTTATTACATACTATATACGGAGTATCTTTTGCACAGTCAAAATGTCGCCCATCAACGATGATCGTCCTGCCTTAACATCTTTTATTCACATTAAATGTAAATGTGTATTGAGAGTTTATCTTATTATTGCTCTAATACTAAATTCGCCCTAAATATGAAAGGCGAAAAAGGCGAATGTTTGTCGACAGTGAAAGATTCCCAGTAATTTATATTTCATCTATTTAAAGAAAAAAACATGGAAAAATATGTAGAATAAACATTTTATTTGAAAAAAAAGTATGCTTTCTCTAATATCATTACGTAATGAAAAAAACCATGAGAAATGGTATATTTACCCATACAAAGGTAAAGACTTCCGTGCAATCCTCAACATCGATCATGTACGTTATGCAAAGTTATTCCAATGATCAATATTCATATCCCTAAAATGAATAACTCCTCCCGATCATCAGTCCAAAACATCATGACATCCGCCTATAAGACTTTTTACAGAAATTAAATTTATACCAAAAGGTCAATGTATATGTAGCAAAAGGTCAATGTACAAGTCAGGAACGGTCTTCGGTAAAACTGGCAACCATTAAGGTTTGAAATGCATATTTTACATATTTATGATAGTTTGAAACACAGTTGCGTTGTTCGAAGATGCGTTTTAATCCTTACTTTTACGTTCATATCATCCCAGACGTTGTTATATTATCGCTTATTGTCATTTTATTCGGTTCGAAAAATTTCAGAAAGTCTTTAAGCGGAGTAGCCGTTTTTGCAAGAACAAAGGCGTGATTCTATGGTTACCAGTTTTGTTAAGCTTCCAATATCAATCGGAAACCATTCGCGAATTTCAGTCATAATTTGAATTTGATGTAACATCATCATCAGTCACCGATCACTTTGTCGGAAAGACCAGAAGAGTTTTTGATTGGAAAACGTTAACGTGTAATGGTTTTGGAGGTTATTGGCATCAAACAACGTTTTAGTTGGTTCTAATGAATGCTTAAAGGCAATTAAGACATATTTCCATAAATAATGCACTCTTTTGTATGAACCAAAGGAAGGGCATACACAAATGACTTTATTGTGTTGTGCCGGCCAGCTGAACAAGAACGGGAAGGGACGGACGATACATATTACAATTCCTTGTTAGTGTAAATATGAAACTAACTACCAGTGAATAGGGAAAAGTCTTGAAGATAATTGTATATTCCCTGTGATATTTCACAAATGATCATAAACAGTCCGAAATAAACAAAAATAAAAATTTAAACAGAACTTCCTTCTATTGGGCACTCTTGGCTCAAATGCTGTGTGTGGTAAACTTGTCACTATGTCGAATCAAAACGGTTTCAAAAGTTGAAGCCAGGCCGAAAAGGCTTGTTTGGATTAAAAAACATTTTTTGACAAATAGTTCATATATCGTAGATCTCCTTTAGAATAATAGTATGTAATGCTGTATTAGTGCTAGTATATTAGTGTGTCTTTTTGCAGAGTACAATTTCCACATGCGTATTAACTCATAAAATGTTATGCTTTAGTAATACAGAGGCCCTTATCGTGACCATAGCAACAAGAAGAAACAAATCTACATAATCGACCTTGTTCGATATTCTAACACTGTGACTCCAAACCTTCACAAACTACATAAACGTCTTTATATTTCACAAAATGTTTGTTCTGATCCTTATTTTTGTTTGTTATATAGCATAATAAGACATATTATGCAATTTCCCATATTAGATTTGTAAAAAAAAATGTAACATAAAATTCCTGCAAGAACAAAAATGATGTAAATTATAACTAGTGAAGTTAAGTTGATGTATTATCAACAGTACTACATATGACATAGTAAGCTTATATAAAATTATCAAATGTCTGTTAAGGCTACCGCCATGTAACATAGTTACGACTGATCCTGGTTTACTTGCTTGACAGTATTTTCCAGTACTTTCCAGGATTTACATAAGTTCTATATTTGTCTTCATTGTGAATGTTGCAACCTTTCTATCCTCTCCTTGGCAGGGTTTAGGTATTGGAAAGGTGTCTGGCCTGCCAGAGAGTCCCTATATTCCCTAAAAGCCCTGCGTGTGTCCCCAACCATTTCATAACAAATCCCCAAGAGATTGTGTACTATCCAGTCGTGACCAACTCCTTGTTCCGCATCATATTTCACGGCTCGAAGATGAATCAATGATGCGTCACGTCTTCTAGTGTCGCCAAGTTCGTGATAACATAGGAATGTCAGGAACACAGCATAAGGAAGTGGAGGGATGTTTGTCAACTTTGGGTGTAACTGGGATGGACAGAATTGTAAAGCACTTGCTGGAAATTGGACATTTGATACAATTACCTCCTGGCATTTGTGTAGCAAGGTGTATCCACGCCCACAATAGAGATTTTCATAAATGTCTTTTTCCTTGTAATTCGATAAAGACTGGGAATATATTTTGAATGATGATAACATGACTTTACACATCTTGAGTGTTTTCGTGTAGTTTCCAGTCTGGTAGTGATATGTTGCCAGCGTCAGTAGACCCGGACTTGTACACACTGAGGAAAGTGGTGTCATTAAGTTTTTGCATTTTCGGAGGAATTTGTACTTCTCTTTATTTCCTCTAGCAGGAATGTGTTTCTCGAAAGTATTAATCCCTGTACAGCACAATGCACGTAATGTTGTGGTGTAAGCTAAGAATTCATCAATACCTAATTTTGATTTAGATAGGAGTGATAATGACCGAGAAAAGAGGTCAGATGAATCAGTTGATGGAAAAGCTGCAGCGAATATTTCCATGTCGCATCTTATTTCTGATTCTGTTGGTGAACGTAGTACCAATTCCCAAGCTCCATTCCTCACACTTTCCAATACGAGCCCTAAAGGCGGTTGTATGACTGTTCCAACTGACAGGCATTCCCATTTCATATCATACAGCTCAATTAAAATGCGAAGGAGTTTTTGTTGGTTTTCACCCTGAACTTTACCACAGAACATATTGTTGATGCTGATAAAGTAATTTGGACAATAGCCTGCATTCACCCAGGCAATCAAAACCTGAAGCAAAGCATAAAACAAAAAAATGTGTTTTTTTCTTGCCATAACGATCCAGGTGTGGATTCCACAGCATAAAACATTACTGTTTTCATGATATAGGATGATAGGATATCTTCATCCCCAAATATCGGCTTCAACCTGTCTGATATTTGCTTGAGGAAGTACTTGAGAAGTCCATATATTAGAAATTGTGTATGAGTAAGCGAATGAATGAGCTTCCTTTCTGCAGTTGTAAATGAAATCCGCCATTGTAGGAATGTATCAGCAGATGTTCTGTCTCCTACAGGGACCAGATGCCAACCGCCCTGTACTATCTCATCTCTCAAAGATTTATCTGGCCAACTATGCTGACGAGGTCGACTCACCCACTCGTAAGCTTCTCGTGGCCATCTAGTACAATGAAACGCAACTACAAGATCATGATCAAATTGTGTTTTGCTTTGTACAGACGTCAGAGTAACAGCTGGGCCGTGTGTTTCCATAATTGAATTTGTCATATTACCAGCTGAATCAGCTAAATTCCGTCTACACATTTCACTTGATATGAAAAATGCATTTCCATCTCGAACGATTGAATAGTTGATTAGTTTATTGCGTGTCGGTCCCTGATTAACTAGTTCAAGGTTCACGTAACCAGGTCGGCTGTCAGCATCTCTCATCATGAAAACTGTTTTATCTTTGCTGTCCTGTGGAATACTGGAATCCTGGAAAGGACACAACACAATCACGTTATTGTCAATCAACATTGTATCTGTGTCTGAGCCTTTCAACCTGATTCCTTCGGCCCCACCTCCTGTGTAAAAGGTAACTAGTCTCCCACAAGTTATTAGCTCAAGCTGAAGCACACGCCTCCTCCTCGTTTCCACTTCCTCTGGGCTCCCTATATACCTGTCAAGGATATGATGTAGAATCCAAGACTTTTCGTACTGCTCCCCCTGATCGGCCATATCGGTGTAAAGTCACAGATCCTGTAAATACAGAATGGGAATGTTGTTATGCTATGTGAAGATATATACAGTTCACATCTTACTAAAAAACACATTGTTAAGAACGAATATGCTTACCAAACTTACCATGCAAGTGGGTTAATGTTTCACCAAATATCATTGCGCATTACTAAATTCTGATTTACACAAGAAACATTGTTGCTATCTATACATTCCACTGACGTCACGATGCTTACAAAGTATGAAGATTGTCCGCAATGATATTAAGAAATAATTTTGTGTTTTTTGCAACATCTGTTGTCGTTTAATTATGTTTAACTTGATGTATTAATACAAAATAATATCAATACTAAACACGAATAAAGTTTAACCAATAACTTTCGAATTAGGGCAAACTAGCATAGACGAACGTTCACTGTTGTCGCTCACTCATGATTAAGATCAGGATCCGCAGTCAAGGTGACGATTAGAATGGTATGTTTCTGGAAATTAAGGCTTTATAACTATCCGGAATATCAAGAGGCATATATTACAATGATCGGTGTGCTAATAGCAGCATATTACGTAATGAAAGGAGCATAATCAACCAGATTACTTAATGAATATTTGTTTTTTGTTGATGACGCCTGTTGACGTTGTGAACATTATATTGTTAATTTGTGTAGCAATACCTTCTATAACCGTTCTATTAGGTGATTTACGTATGCGAGTATAATGAAACATAGCCCGTTCACTACTGCTACAATTGCTTGACTACGCCCGAAGAGAAGTTCTAGATAAAATGTGTTCTTTAAAACCTCACAGTCCACTTTAATCGATGCTTATTTAAAATAACTATTCCTTTCATTTGAGATATTATTTGATTTCTTAAAATAAAACATACCAATCAAATATGACAGCGTTGCTTCATATTTCGAAATTGAAAATAAAGAATAAGCAAAGAACTGCTTAAATGTTTCAGACCCATGGTAAACATGTAACTACAAAACAAAATAAAGTTAAATTGATACGATTTACCAAGGGTACGTTAATCACGTCTCTCCTGGCGGTCGCGTGACTCACTAGTACGTAAACGTTGTATCAGATAGCAATTAAGTGCCCTTTTGACATAAGACAGGATGATGTAGTAGCACAATTGAATACATTGATAAGCAGAACTTATTAAAATAAACATAATTCATATAAATAATACTTCAAATAAGGCTCAAGCTTATTTTGGAACCGAATTTTCGAAGGATTGCGTAAAGGAAAAAGCAAAAACAACAGTTTATTTACACAGTAATACACTATACACATACAAATGATTATACAAATACCTCATTCACTCATTAATACTGATGAATATTTACAATGAAACTAAAAGATATATATATATAAAGTGCATGGGCTTTCTCTGCGCTGTATCTTCTCGGAGTGTCTCACTGAATGTCTGTTCGGAGTCCCCGTGTAAAACTATATCTGTCTCAATTACGTCAGCACCATTGAACTTCCCGGAATCTTGGTTTCCACCCGATAGCATCTGCTGATGACGAGGAATGACATAAGCTGTAGCCGCAGCATCATACCAGCTTTCTGTCCCATAAATGTTTTCACTCCGACCCCTACGTGCTTGCTGGCGCACCAATGTTGTAGGCAGTCTGGCGAGTGTATTCACAATATGGAACCAATGTTTAGTTGGTTGTCTTATTCGCAACCCACCTAAGGCCGTATATCTTCGAGTTAGAACCAGAGATATGTAAAGTACAGATGTACACGAATACAAATAATTATATACTTGTGCACACACCTTTCAAATTAAGAACACTTTATCTAAAATGCTCAAACTATATAATGATATCTGGTATAACATTATACATAGAAAATAAACCATTATACTATAAAACTATATATATATAATAATAGATATGTGTGGATGCCTAAAACATACGTACATACATATATTGTACGATTGACTTTCTAACGCGCACTATAGAATATGTACGCTGCCAACTGCGTTCATACTACCTTATACGCCGTCCTTAAGCATGCACCTTACTCATAACTTTTCTTTTCTACATATGTCTCCAACAACAGGGCTAGTTTGCCACAACGCGGAGTATGATACCCTTAAACATTTGCAACCATATTCCAAAATTGCAAGATAATTGGGCGCAAAAAGGTAAAATGTTAAAACAATATATTTTATTGTCTGTTTTAGTGTACGCTATCAATGTTAGATTTATAGGGTACGTTCACACCAAATACATACATCTCTGTACAAATACTGGTATTTCAGGATGATAAAAATCAACTTCGAAAGATAACGTAAGATTTAGGTGGGTACTCGAATAAACCACAGATGTAAATATCGCAGAAGGTTACAGAATCCGTTTCCGTGTATCAGACTGTGTATGTCCGGTTGATATTGTTTGCTACAAGTTGGTTTAAGTGTCACACGTTGTCGTAATTTAAGGAACTTTTTAATTAAAGTTGCAGGAAGCAGGAACTATCTACTGAAACAAATTGTAAAACAGCGGCACGGAAATATACCTTGATGTGTTTGGAAACGGAATCTTATATACACAAATATTTCCGTCTGAAAGTTTTTAATAATAACATGAGGAAAGATTTTTTTTTTATATACGTCATGAGGCGTCTGAAGTAAATCAATACACAGTGATGAGGTCACCTGTGTTATGCAAAAATGAATGTCAATTTCGTCAATGGCTCTAGGCATACAGAATGTAAATATAAAGAATTGTTTCCATTTTTAGATTTTTTAATAAGACGTCTATCTGACATGTTTTATTTTGGACAAACAGCTGTTATTTATGAAAAGTCGAAAACAGCGGAAGACACCATTTAAGCACTTTTTTCTATAGTTTTTAACTTATTAAACGTGACCGGTTCCCAATATTTCCAAGTGTCGAAATCGAACTTTTACTTTATTGGATAAAAAAACCAACCAAAAACGCGCCTCAAAATATTTGATAAGGTTTAACTATTAACTTATAAATATTAAGAATTCCTTCCATTTCTAGGTTTTCCAATAAGACGTCTTTTATATCGTGTCAATTGACATGTTTTAACAAACACCAAGGAATTTTTTACTGTTGTTTGTTCCACAATAACTGACTAACAATCAAGTAACATGTTTCGTCTCATCGTTGTATAGGTACAAAACACAAATATCTCACTCAGTCATCAGTATGCAGTCTGCCGCAGAGTGTGATCCAGGATCCCTTTAGTTTCAGTCCACGTTAAAATTCCTTATTTAAATCAAAGGTGTAGACAGTGCCAGTATATACAACACAATAGAAACATTTGAGATATTATTTGGTTTCTTAAAATAAAACATACCAATCAAATATGATAGCGTTGCTTCATATTTCGAAATTGAAAATAAAGTATAAGCAAAGAACTGCTTAAAAATTTCAGACCCAATGGTAAACATGTAACTAAAAACCAAAATAAAGTTAAATTGATATGATTTACCAAGGGTATGTTAATCACGTCTCTCGTGGAGGTCACATGACTCACTAGTACGTAAGCGTTGTATCAGATAGCAATTAAGTGCCCTTTTGACATCAGACAGAATTATGTAGTAGCACAATTGAATACATGATAAGCAGATATTAATAAAATAAACATAAATCATATAAATAATACTTCAAATAAGTCTCAAGCTTATTTTGGAATCGAAATTCCGAAGGATTGCGTAAAGGAAAAAGCAAAAACAACAGTTTTTACACAGTAATACACTATACACATACAAATGATTATACATACATCTCATTCACTTATTCTTACTGATGAATATTTACAATGAAATTAAAAGGTATATAAATAAAGTTCATGGCCTTTCTCTGCCCTGTATCTCATTTAAGTGTCTCACTGAATGTCTGTTCAATTCTAGTCCCAGTGGAAACAATATATGTCTCAATGACGTCAGCACCATTGAACTTCCCGGAATCTTGGTTTCCACCCGATATCATCTGCTGATGACGAGGAATGACACAAGCTGTAGCCACAGCATCATACCAGCTTTCTGTCCCATAAATATTTTCACTCCGACCCCTAGGTGCTTGCTGACGCACCAATGTTGTAGGCAGTCTGGCGAGTGTATTCACAATATGGAACCAATGTTTAGTTGGTTGTCTTATTCACAATCCACCTAAGGCCGTATATCTTCGAGTTGGAACCAGAGATATGTAAAGTACAGATGTACACGAATACTAATTAGTATATACTTGTGCACACACCTTCCAAATTAAGCACACTTTATCTAAAATGCTCAAACTATATAATGATATCTGGTATAACATTATACATAGAAAATAAACCATTATGCTATGAAACTATATATATATAATAATGACTATGTGTGCATGCCTAAAACATACGTGCATACATATATTGTAAATTATCTATGTCTCCATATGCATATTGAACAACGTACCACGATGTATGCCTTAATAACATTGACACGGTATATAATAACTGATTAATGACTTAATATTACAAAACATGACCACATGAAATACTATAAGTAGTACCAGCATGATATATCATACCAATCAGCTTTATATAACTTAATTAACACATACAAGTTACTAATTATGTTATCTTATTCTGTAACATACGTTCACACGCCTTAGCGGTGAACTACATACGCGTAAACATGATACGCATGAGTGACGCGCACCCGTACCTTACCTACCTATACAATGCATGCACACTCTAAATGATCAAATACCCGACGAAATATGAAAATATAGATATAAAAGTATACATAGAATGGTAGAATGATCGGAATTAACACTTACCCTGTTTCATAGGTGGTCACGATGACTCTGTCTGGTTTTTCGGCCTTCTCAAAATGACACACGTCTTAACGCAACAATGGCTTATGACTGTGTGTGAACATTACTTACGTGGTCAGTCCAACTTTCTATTATAACTTACCCGTGGATAGCGGAACGAAATATAGATAATATAAAATACAAAAATACCCACTTACAATCCTTATAATGCTTCGTGACAGTGACGTCATCTACGTTCACCAGACCCTAGTACCCACTGTATATATAGTTATGATCCTTTCTTCCTTGTTTATACAGCAGTTTCATGTTTCAAATAATGTTTGATTTAAACGAACAAAACAAATACACGGAAGTTTAGTCATACACCATGTATAATCCAGGTAGTGCAGTTGTTAACTGTCCTCTCCATTAATGAGGATATTCTCGGAATTTTACTTGCCCTAAGTATTGTGGCAAATTCCTTGTCTAATTATACAACAAAGGCATACTGACAAACGTCTTATTCCATGGTTAAACAATGGCGGCTTCGTTATGAAACGTTGGACCGTGTTACTCTATGAGCAGTGTGTCAATACGTGTACATAACGAAATGTTAATGAATAAGTTAAGGGCTCCTCACAATACTTAGTTTATAATGTAAAAGCTATGAAAGGAAGAACAATATTATGATTCATTGTGGATATTCTAAATGTACTCATATATCGATGTAGAATCACTAGAACTATATTATCCTAGCAACCAAGGCTACCGTAGTTACCATCGTAACAACCTTCGACTGTTTTTCTGTCTATTGTAGCATTTGAACTTTTATTTGGATGTAAATATTAGGACTGACTTTCTAACACGCACTATAGAATATATACGCTGCCAACTGCGTTCATACTACCTTATATGCCGTCAAAATGAAGGTCCATCCTGAAGCATGCACCTTGCTCATAATATTGCTTTTCTACATATGTCTCCAACTTTTTTACAGGGCTAGTTTGCCACAACGCAGAAGTATGATACCCTTAAGAATGTGCAACAATATTCCAAAATTGCAAGAGAATTGGGCGCAAAAAGGTAAGATTTGAAAACAATACATTTTATTTTCTGCTTTAGTGTACGCTATCAATGTTAGATTTATAGGGTACGTTCACACCAAATACATACATCTCTGTACAAATACTGGTATTACAGGGTAATAAAAATCAACTTCGAAAGATAACGTAAGATTAAGGTGGGTACTCGAATAAACCACAGATGTACATATCGTAGAAGGTTACATAATCAGTTTCCGTGTATCAGACTGTGTATGTCCGGTTGATATTGTTTGCTACAAGTTGGTTTAAGTGTCACACGTTGTCGTAATTTAAGGAACTTTTCGATTAAAGTTGCAGGAAGCAGGAACTATCTACTGAAACACATTGTAAAACAGCGGTACGGAAATATACCTTGATGTGTTGAAAAACGGAATCTTATATAAACAAAATATTTCCGACTGAAAGTTTTTAATAATAAAATGAGGAAAGATTGTTTTTCTATATACGTCATGAGGGGTCTGACTTGAATCAATACACAGTGATGAGGTCACCTGTGTTATGCAAAATCGACTGCAATTTCGTCAATGGCTCTAGGCATACAGAATGAAGATATAAAGAATTGCTTCCATTTTTAGATTTTTCAATAAGACATGTTTTATTTTGGATAAACAGCTGTTATTTATGAAAAGTCGAAAACAGCGGAAGACACCATTTAAGCACTGTTTATATAGTTTTTAACTTACTTAACGTGACCGGTTCACTATATTTCCAATTGTCGAAATCGAACACTGTTCTATATTGGATAAAAAGACAACCAAAAACGCGCCTCAAAATATTTTATAATGTTTAACTATTAACTAATAAATATAAAGAATTGCTTCCATTTCTAGGTTTTCCAATAAGACGTCTTTTATATCATGGCAATTGACATGTTTTAACAAACACTAAGGAAACATTTACTGTTGTTTGTTCCGTTTATTGTATTTTCAATACTAGTCGGAGGCGGAAGTTTTTAAGCACATATTACACACTGTATAAAACTCCACTGCTCTTTGTACTGTGATACCTGACTTACAATCAAGTAACATATTTCGTCTCATCGTTGTACAGGTAAATAACACAAATTTCTCACTCAGTTATATCTTGACAAAGGGACCAGTAGGTCTTGGACTGTTGCGACACGTTTAATACGTACATTGTTTGTGTAAAAAGTAAATCTTTGACATCACATATTTCCAAAATGAAGAATCTTATTGAAGTTTTTTTTTTCCTAATATGTTTTGATAAAAATCTAAACTAAATTCACGCTTAGGATAGAAAATCGTATTACCATAGTATTTAATATTGTTTAATTAATCATATCAGCGTATTTTCGAAAACGTTTGTCTTTCTTTGTTTCTCTTTATAGCTATGTTGCAGGTATAAATCAGAGAAGGAAGCTTTTAAAATCATATTTCACATTGTTTAGCACCCCGGTGTTTTTTGTTTCGCAGCGTATGACTGATAATAAATTCATCAGCGCTCGGATTACTGTATGCAGAGAAATATTCTCGGCAATGGAAATTTTGCCGTTTTTACCTCCTTGATGTGGGCGAATTTATCATAACGGCGAAAATAATATCCCAATACGCACTAAATATAAAATATATGTACAAGACTAAATATAACAGTTGGCGAATACATATTTAAAAGTGAACACATTCACATGGTAATCATTATTTATAGATTAATTGAGGATTTCTACCTATTAATGAATAATACTTAAAAGATGAACGTAAGACACAAAAATGTGAGCGCAACATTAAAACCTGGTAATATATACAACATGCCAAAAATCAATTACACTGCACCATTCAACTGTAGTCCTTTAAGGACTTATCGGTGATGCCAGGAGCCAAACCATTTGAATTCCTTATTAGGTAAACTATTGTTCAAATTAAGTGGAAGGCACGTGAAACCCCTTAATTAAATGTATTTTAAATTTAAAAGATGACTAGTTGATTTTAAATTACATCATGAGTAAAGTGTGCGTATTATGAACACTGCTACTACATACAAATTACATAGAAGGATATTTTTCATCGACTTATTGTTTCAAGTAAAACTGTTTTAACGATTACGCGGAAGGAAATTAGCTCAGCCCTGATCAAACATTGTTAAAACCTGAATGTTCTTTGTTAACAGCAATTAACCGTATGACCTCAACACATTTTCCCACCAAAATGAACACGTTAACATGGGCACTCATGTCAGGTAATTATTAGTATTGAATAGCTGAACATTGCTTATTGAATGATTTTGTTTGTTGAATTATGATGTATCGGATGTTATCAATAAATGATCAGTATAATAGTTTTCATTGCTGCACGGAGAGTATTGATTACCCGACAGTACTGATCGATTTCTGACCAATGTATAATTGCTTAATGATGTATGTTTATTTTCTAATATATGATTGTTGAAACAATAACAAAAGTCAATACTTATATACCGTACGTTGGGATATGGTTGTGTGTCCAAAAGTTTGTTCTTTATGGCAAAATGAAAACGGCGACGTTACAGTTGAATATGTCAGATGTAGGTGTTTTACATTTTCTGTATGTTAACGTTTGGTGTTTGACGATGCCTATTGTTCCCATAGTTGTTCCATCAGCACATTGGGTTACACAAGGTTACAGGTTACTCTTAAAATAATGAAATTCAATTTGAAAAGACTCAAATATTTACAGCCTAAGTTTATCCGTGTAATTTTCTTAAAAGATTTGGTAGTATTGTAGTATGGGTTATTATCTATTAATATACAAACTTTGCATATCGACTTAACTTGCTGTACGGCGGCAGCCTGACCGCCTACATTGTCTACACTGACCGCCTTCACTGACCAAAATGAGCTCCTACACCGATTACAATTACCACCTTAACATGCTAGACTGACCATCTCAACTGACCACATTGACCACTTTCACTAAATATACTGACCACCCTCACTTACCACATTTACCACCTCTACTGACCTCACTGACATCTACCTTTACTGACCATCTACACTGACTAAACTCACCACCTACTCGGACTTCACTGATCAACTACACTGACACTACTGACAACCTTCAATGACTACCTCCACTAACCTCTCTGACCATCTCTACTGACAACCTCCTACGGCTCTCCGATATTTTCCTCTAATTACCATTCAACTGACCAACTCCAGTAAACCACAATGACCACTTACACTAATTATACTGACCACCACCACTGGACACACTGACATCTACCTATACTGAACACCTCCACTAATCCATACCTCTTCTGACCACCTCCAGTGTCTACACTGACAGATGTTGCTACTGATTACCTCTACTGATTACCTCTATTGACTACCGTTCTGATTACCTCTTCTGACTATCTCCATTAACGACACTAACCACCTCCTCTAAACATTATAACCACCTACACTTACCACCTCAAATGAACAAAATTACCCCCTACTCTAACGTCACTCACCATATTCACTGTTAATACTGACCACTTCAACTGACCACACTGACCACCTCCACTACTCTCTCTAACATCTATCTTTACTGACTACCTCCTCTGAACACACTGACTACCTCCACCAATTACACTAACCACCTTCTCTGAAAACCTCTACTGACCACAACTACTGAGAAAAGTATTTTTCTTTTGACTACCATCTCCACTGACCACACTGATTACCACCACTGACAACACTTATATCTACATGTACCTGATTACTACCACCAATAACACTATTATCTACCTCTAATTACCACTGACTCCACTTTTTATACTGACCACCTCTATTGATTACACTGACCATCCCAACTGACCATTTTGATCACCTACACTGAGCATACTGACACCTATATCTATTAACCACAGTCCACTAACTACACTGATATCACTTTTACCGACTACACTAATTACACTAACTACCTACATTGACCACACTGACATTTACCTCAAGTGATTATTTCCACTTACCATACTGATCACCTCACTGACCACACTGACAACACTGACCACACTGACAACCTCTACTGACATCACTGACTATCTCTGCTGACCTCACTTACATCTGCCTCTACTGACGACCTCCACTGACCACACTGACCACCTCCACTGACCTAACTGACTATCTCTGCTGACCTCATTGACATATACATCTACTGACCAACTCCACTGACCACTTTGACCACCTCTACTGACCTC